TGTGAACTGTTAGGTTGGGCTAGTTTTATACGTATTGTAGTTGTGAAGGTTCGGTTGGGGTGTAAGGAGTACTCGTATTCTATCCCTTTAGCTTGTGTTTAGAGGTTTACTTGCAAAGTACTGCGTGGTTTGGTACCCACCCCTTGCTACTACATTTTTTTGTAGGTTACTAGCCCGGACCTTTGTGATATATTTTCTTCTTTCTGAGGCTTCTTGGAGATTTGGGAGGTAGATGTTTGTCAACTCAACAGACCTTCTTACTCATGTTTATGATCTTGTTCTACTCTAGAAACTATGTCATATGAGACTTATATTTTTCTTTTGATTCAATTGTAATACTTTTAGAGGCTTATACATGTGACAACCAGATTTTGGGGGTATTTTTTGAGTTTATGATAAAAATTTCTGCATTTTTATTGTAATGGTTGAGTTTTAGGCTGACTTGTCTTGGTGGGTTAAGACGGAGTGCCATCACGTCTATTTTTGGGTCGTGACAAAATGGTATCAGAGCCCCAGGTTCATAGGTCTCACGTGTGTACAAGTCGAGTTTAAGTAGAGTCTCGAGGATTTGTACGGAGACGTTTGTACTTATCTTCGAGAGGCTATAGTGACTTTTAGGATAAATCTTGAATCTCTATCGTGCGTACTTGGTCCGGTTTTGATTCTTATCGCTTCACTTCATTCACTTTCACTTATAGTGATAACTCGTGCGTGGTTTCTCATGTGAGTAGTTGATGTCGTGTATGGTTTGAATGTTATGTTTGGTATTAAGGTGGAAGTAATAGACTTACGAAAATTATGTGTAGTTGGATTCGAAATGTTAGTAATTTGAAGGGGTTGAGTTAGGTGATAGCTCGATGATGCATTTTGAGGATATTTGATGATGATTTTGAACAAATGTTTGGAGATTTTATGAACATGGTTATTTGTTTTGGTTAGTTACCCTAATAGAGGGAATATTACATGTGTGGTATATGCAATATCTTGATTAGTTCGATAATTGAAAGTGGAATAGTTAAAAGGATGGATAGGAAATGAACAGTGTGACTTCGGAAATTACAGTTAATAAAGTTGTATAAGTATGGGTTGTTTAGTGTATAATGAGAATGATGTTGTAATAAACGAAGTTAGAATCTCTACTACAATTTTATAGATTGGGTATATATTTAAGAGGATCATGATATGACTACGACAACATTATTGATGCCTACTTGGTTAGAGTTGTGGGGTGTGTTACTTCTATTATCGATCTGATATATGAAAGAATGCATATCGCTTGGGCTAGAGACAGAACGAATTTGATAATATTTTGCAGTTATTCAACGGATAGAAATATGTGAGATTTGGGCACAATCTTCTCGACATGTATGATGTGTTCTAGTGGTGGATCTAACGAACTTTCACGATGTGGTACTAGTGTTATATGAAAACGGATATGTCGATGGTAAGTGTGAATACTAACTACTTAAGGGGCTATCAATTGTATCACATGCTCATATAATAAGATTTGATGTTGCATTCATATTTGAGAAACCAACTATCTTGTTACTACGAACGAATGGGTTAAGCATTATTTATAAGAAAGCTTTAGTGGTGGATCTTTGG